TTTTTTTAAGGTTTCCCAAGGTTCTTTCTAGGAGTGATATTTTCACATGTCCATGAGTTTTCCTCCTGATGGGGCAGCCCATTGCAAGAAGTCTTTCCCCATCCAGTGGTTTAGCCTACCAGGGCCACCAATGCAGGAAGGACACCTTGCTGGCTGTGACATGTTCAGACCTACATATTACCTATATTAGGATATTGCCCTGATTATTTTAATGCCTATTATCTCCACTCACATTCCAGGTCCCCTTCCTTTTTACAAAAGGCACACCTGAGTGTGGCTAGCTTTGTATCCTCCTTCAAACTCTGTACTTTAACAAATATTTCTTTAAGTTTCTACCCCATACACAATAACTTTCTAGTATCATGCTAATGTGAGTTTCCCCACCCTTTTTATGTTACTGCACATTTCTATGGGAGCCTGGTAGAGTGAAGGAGACAGCGAGGTAATATTCTTTCTTCATCTTCCTATTGGAATCCTACACATTTATTCTTTATAAATTGCTCACTAGAGGATTCTCCTCTTCTTTCACCCACCCAGGCTGCTCTTCTTTCTTTAGAGCAAACATTGAATCTGAACTGGGTACATTGACTCTGATAATGTTTCCAACTTTCCCTTAAAGTCTAGTGTAGTGTGATTAAGTTCTTATCTAAGCGGTGCAAAAGCAAGAATTTGGATTGGCAGGATTTTCTAGGAATGTGACTTAAGAAGAGTTGACCCAGCTAAAAAGACCCTTTCCTGTCACTTTTCTTTTTCCTGCAATGCTGATGCAATGACTGGCACTCCTGCAGCCATCTTACTCTATGAGGATGTAAGCTGGGCATTAGCAATGGTGTTGAAGAAAGATAGGAGCCTGAAACCCTAGAGATACAGAGAGATACCATGCCAGCCCTGGCTAGCCTGCTTCATGGCTTCTATCATGTGAGAGAGAATACACTTCTATATTATTTAAGATATTCACATTTGCTTTAAAAAAAAATTAAACAACCATACCTAATCCTAACAAATATAGTTTGATATTGAAGCTATCTTATCCTAATCTTCAGTATACTTTCCTGATTTTAATCACATCTGTTTACACTTGAAATGTCAATTATCTTTTATTTATAGCAACTCATGTTATTACTTAAAACCCATTTGTTTTAAAATAAAATATGCTACCTACAATAAATATGTATAAAATCAGTATTATGAACAGGTGATAATATGTAAAAGAGATTAAATTCCAGTGACGTACTCTCATCTGCCTATAGTCTATTAGCATGCTAGCCCCTAGAAGAGACGGACATGTCTTCAATACACTTTTTCCCTCTTTTGGACCCACATTTGCAAAGATAGGATCTAAGTCCTGCTGGAGAACAGAAATACATGTAAGTTTCTGTCATTTAAGTTTATTTAATCTCCTTTCTATGTACCACCTAAAGCCATCTACACATCAACTGTGGTAAGATCTGGGAAACACTGATGTAGAGGGCTGCAAGGCAAAGCAAATATATCGCTTTTGCTACATATTTATCTAAGTTGCATAGTACTATAATAAGCAAGCTTCTGAAAATGCAAAATGGCTCTTGACAGACAAAGCATGATTAGTGATTCCATTTCTGTTCTGTAATATTTGCTGGCCGTGCTTAGTCAAAACAGATCTGATAGCTGCAATCACATTCACACATTAATACTGTCCTGGTAAGATCCTCAGCAACCAAACTTCTTCACACAAGGAAGGATGTATTTCAGCTTCGATAAGAGATCTTCACTCATTCCTGCTCAGTTCATTGCAAGCACAAAAGGGTCTCCTTAATCCATAAAATTACACCTGTCACAGTGACTTAACTTCATTAACGCGGCCTCCCGATCCATGGTAAATTTTTAGCAATACAAAAATCTATGACTCTGTAGCTAATTAAGACAGAGTCTTTTTCATGGTGATGATCAGATTCTGACTTTTAAGAATAACTGAAAAACATTCAAGGAGAGTAGGAGGATGTGTGTATAAAGCAAAACAGCTTCTAAAGCAAAACCTACTAACGCTGTTAAAACATCCACTCTAGGCCGGGCACAGTGGCTCACATCTATAATCCCTAGCACTCTGGGAGGCAGAAGCAGGTGAATTGCTTGAGGTCAAGAGTTCAAGAGCAGCCTCAGCAAGAGTGAGACCCCATCTCTACTAACAACAGAAAAACGAACTGAGCATTGCAACAGGCGCCTGTAGTCCCAGTATTGGAAAGGATCACTAAGTCCAGGAGGAGTTGGAGGTTGCTGTGAGCTATGATGAAGCCATGATAGTCTACCCAGGGCAATCAGGGCAATGGAATAAGACTCAGTTTAAAAACAAAACAAAACTGCTCTATAACACATTTACCAATTATCCTTGGGGAAAATAAATCTCATCCAGTCCATCACTATCTGAAATAACGGAGCATGATTTTTCTTTATAATTCCCCAAAGACAGAGTACAATGAAACACTTTGAAGTGAGGATAAAGCTGACCATATTAATGAATATATCATATTCAAAACCTCTCTAATTGAATAGTTTCTGTTAAATAGGTAACACATGCACACGGTAAAAAATAATCAAACGCCAATGGTTCACTCTAAAAAGTGATTTGCGTTCAGCCTTCTCCCCTAGCTTCCCATCTCTCTCCAGTAGGAATCCCAGGTGCCAGTCTCTTGTGTAGTCTTGTTGGGACATCGTTCACTCAGAACAGTATCATAGAATACCCTTCTCTTGGGCTTCCCCAAAGGGAGTTTCATTATGCATGCTGTAATGCACTTTACTTTTTGAACAAGTGTATCAGGAATCCTTCAGTACATGTACATAGAGATTTGTATTACTATCCACGTACAGTAATTAAGATAGGATCTAATTCTAGAACTCATTAAACAAATCTTTACCGAGAGTTCACATGGACCAGATGCTGCTGTAAGGGCTGAGAACACAGCTGCAGACAGGACCGGATTTGCAGACTAAAATGCTTCCATTTCAGAGTTTCCTCATTAAGTAAAGCCTCCCTAGCTGTAGTGTAAAATCTCTGCCTCGATGACACATATGTGTCTAAACCTCAACCCTCTACATGCATAGAGATGCATCTGCATACCAACACCACACATCTATGTTCTATATACACACACCACATGTGTGTATGTGCATGTGTATATACACTTTTTTCCCTCTTTCAGACCCACAGTAGTAAACAGAAAGCTGGAATCAGAATCCGCAAAGATAAGGAATATTCTGGTATAGAATGGCAGTAGGATAGCAGGACTTACAAAGGAATAACTTTTAATATTCCAGTCCATGTACCTGTTTCTTAAAGAATATACTGACACAAATGAAAGAAAAACAAACTGCAAGCACCATGTATTTGATGTTTGCATGACTCCAGACGTGCCGAATCTCTTGAAGCCCTTGGAGCCGTAAAAAGGCAACTTTGACAAGAAGGCGCTACCCTGGTCAGTTTTATGCATCCTCTCCATGCACAAGATGAACTGAACTAATTCTTAGTCATAAGTTTAAAAATAAACATCAAATGTTTTATAACGGCTCAAATTCCTTTGCATTTTGTAGGTAACACTACAGGTGTTGTTATAGGTAGCACAACAACAACTACTACTAATCTGTGAAAGTAGAAAAACACACACAAAAATAAAAACGCATTGGTTGAGATTCTGCTTATCCTCTTCCGGTAAAGAATGAACTTATCCATCTGCCCATGTTTCTATCATTCTACCCATTCATTTGTCCGTGTGCCCATCTGCTCATTTTTCCTAACTTCCGCTAGGGACAGAACCCAAAATAAACCTTTCATCAAGTCACATACCAGCCCAGACGTATCTGAACGGGTGCGTATTTGCGAGTTCATCACGTTAATCAGTGCGGCACACACTATCACTACATAAAGACCTAGGGCAGGGCTCAAGCACAGGTTTTCTTTATTTTCCTTTCATCTGCTGTACAAGCAAATCTTCAAGGAAATAATCTGCAAACACTGGTGAGTTGGTTACGGAAGGAAGAGCGGGAAGAACATAAACGAGAGCTGCTGAGGACCAAAGTTCTCAAACACCAACGTTGAGCACCGGAGCACAGATGGGAACCCAAAGCAGATCGTTTCCAGGTCGATTTCAAATGCTCCTTGTTAATGAGCCAAACACGATTGTAATAGTTTTCAACTGAAACTCACGACCTATCAGAATGAATAATAAAAACATGTATACTTTCCAAACCTGGAGCTATAAGGTTTAAAAATGCACTCCAAAAATAACGTGTCACATATCTGAATGTGTCCTTCAATTACTATTCACGTTTTCAGTAATATAAAGAGCAAAAAGCAACCTAAAAGGGACAAAACTATGTGACCAGACTAGGAATTCTCCAGAGCCACAAACGAGATTTCAGGGAAGTGTCATAACACAAGAACTACTGAGTTGCCAAGTCTCTCTTTGTCCAGCTGTGAATTGATTGTTTCTAATTTGGTGGCTATCTGAGCCAGATTCGAGTTTTAATTTCTCCCTAGAGTGACTCACAATTCCTTGCAATTCCACAGCCGGCGGTTCACTGTACTGTCAGAAAGCATCTGCAAGACAATCGCATGCGTTGCATTCAAATCTACAGAGTAAATGAGGAATGCTTGCCTGTTGCAAAGACAGCTAAATGAGCTAGTGTTTAATATTTGCAAAATGGCCAAGAGACAGCCAGACTTCCAGTTCATCTCGTCATACAGATTAGGAAAAGGTCATGGTGGAGCAGAACATCCCTCGTGGATAAATTCTATCTGCAGGGAGCAGTCCTGGAAGGTGGCATGGAGCTGTGTTGTGGTTTTAAGTGGCTCCACTGTGAGTAATAACCCGCCTTCCCAAAGAAAGATTCCATCCATGTCACCTGGAGGCACCAATAACACAGAGGACAAATGCAAACCTCCGCAGAAATGGTTGTGAGCAAATCTAGGAAAAACGAGGCCACACTTGCAGCTGATCTGAATCTATTAAAGCCCGGCTGGGACTCACCTGTTTTCCGAGCCAGCTGATTTCTTCTGACAAATGATGACAGCTGGTGCGTACTTCCCAGTGTGATCCCTGCTCTCCCTGACGTCCCAAATGGAAGGGCTGCTGGCTCGCACACCGATGATGCTCACGCCTTTCTTCACCTTTGCCCTGGGGGAGACAAAGTGTAGTCTGAGTCAGCTCTGGGGACGGTTCTGGGAACACCGTGAACTGAATTGCACATGGTCGCCTTGCAGGTGTGAGCTCATGCATGAGACGATCTGAACACACATTTGCAATCACCTTCCAATCTATCTGCCCTAATGTTTTTTAGTCATTCCTACCTATAAACAAAGGAGTTAGTTATAGTAGACTGACAGCAAGCCAACACTAGTATCATTGTGCCAGCTTATTCCTTCAGGCAAAACCAAACCAAAACAAAAATCCACCTGAAAACCCTGAGACTGGTAAAACTAAAACACGAAAAAGTAAACTTTAGAGTAAGGATGTATATTCATTGTCCACCTGCTATGTGCCAGGCACCGACGGACATTTTTTCTCTGTGATCTGATTTTCCAGCCATGTTCCAAGTTCCAAATGGGGAAGCAGAGACTCAGGTTGGAAAACGATCCCGGCCCCCCAGAGAATGAAGGCGCTAAGATTTTCACAGGTTGCTGCTTTCTCCTCTGCGCCCATTGTCACCAGGATCACCCTACTCTCCATCTTCATCATCATCACCATCACTAACACGTATTGATTACTTATCAGGAAGCAGACACTCTGCTAGATGTGTTATGATTTTATCTCCTTTAATTCAGACGAATGGCTCACGAGGTCAGGACCATTTTAATTTTGACTGAGCAGATTTGAAGTGGCTCCCAGCCGAGATGCAGGCAGGATGTGCTCGGTGCTTCTTGCATCAAGTGAAACGTTCCAGTGTTAAGCTGATTGATCTGATTCTATTTACTATCCCTGTTCCTCGACGCTGGCCAGTTCCTGCCATCTTATCTAACATTTATTCAAACATTTACAAAAGCACATTTTCTAAAAAGCGAGTACGCTTCCCATCACACACACACCCACACACACATATGACACCTCCATTTCATTCACGAGCGGGATACATGATAGGCCCAGAGGCTTTTCTTCAAGGTATCAGTGGCTTTGCTCCTTGCAGAAAGCCGGCTCTGTGAGGAAGAAAGAAGCATGGTGGAACCGGTTTTCTCATATGACCTCACTTTACTTTAAGAAATTTCCAGTGAAAAGCACACTTGTGATGGAAAGTAGGTGGTAAAAGGACAAGACTATAAATTCGAACAGTTTGATGTACAAACTAGTCTAGCTGCTTGAAAAAAATTCATGTTTCTGGTTGTATTTTCTCATCTTAGTTCCTTCCAGGAAAATAGAAAACAGAGCACTTTGCTGGTTTTGGCCAGAAGGTGATGGTGGGGATGCTCAGCTGGGGTTACACACCCCAGGTTTGTAATTGTTGTGCCTGTAGAAACTTGCAAGGAAGGCAATGGCTGCAGAGTCCACACTCTAGCAACGCTCACTGTTATTATCACAGGAGGGGGCAAGACTACCTCCTGTCCTCAGCAACAAGGGCTGCAGGGAAGACAACACTCTTAGGCCCAGAGCTTGGAATAAAAGGACATGCCTGTCCCTCACACCTGAGCACGCTATCTCCCAAGGACACAACTTTAAAGCCTGTCTTCCTTAGGAAGCCCTTCTTGCAAAGGAATCCGGGAACTTGCATTCTGGAAAGGTTCTCCCCATTCTATGCTGAGGGGAGCTCACAGAGCCTAAACCTACGCAAACTCCTGAACACCTGCTTTCCTTCTGGGAGTCTGGAATTTTGGCATATGCTAGGCAGAGGGTGTCCATGTGAGGCCAGACCCCAGTTACAGCCCAAACTCCTAGGCTTAGGTGAACATCCTTAGTAGACTCGCTGGGACAGACTGTGGGGAGCTTGTGTCTGGTTCCCTCCCCCACGTGCCCTTTCCCTTTGTGCTCTTTTGCTGTGTTAATTTAGCATTGATCATGATCATGACCATGCTCTGAGTGCTGTGAGTCTGCCCAGCAACTGGTGGCATGTTGGGGTGGTCCCAGCACACATACCCATCTCACTAGTCCGCAAAGAGAGAAGGGATATATTTGTAGGGTTGACCTGGGTACAACAATTAGCATTTTTAGAAAGCTATTATCATGTATAACAATTCTTTCTATGGGAAAAAAAATAACATGTCTTGTGCTTTAAATAATCATTGTGCAAGCAAACATTTTGAGTGCAGTCATTTATAAATTGGGAATTACATGTGCAGGCCAAAAGCCACCTGACCTTCAAGATACCCTGAGGAAACAGGCACATTGTTAGGACTCCTACCTCGCAGAAACTCAATTACATTGCAGGCAAGCAAGGTGTGGTGGTGGAAGATGGTACAATCGGCGTGGACAGCTGCTGTTATGCTAACACGCATTCTAAAGGCTGCCCCAATTACTGTGCACGGGAATTTTATTGAATCAACTTTGCTTTAATAAACAGGTCATCCACCTGGCTTTGGCAACCTTTTCATTACATAAGCAATATCAGCATACAGGCCTTTTCTAATATATAATGGACGTACGTTGTTCTGAAATTTTATTCACAGGTAGGTGACTTGGAATTCCAATGATGTTTCTCCAAAGAATTATTTTCAAGTTTGTAAGAAAGGACACAGTTGCTTATTTAATTTATGAAGTATCCAGTATTTGTTGCTCATAATTCTACTATGGCTACATGAGGTTTGAATTTATGTAGCATTATGTCTGTGAAAAACACTTCCACAGGTTAGTATAGGACACTGGGAATTGTCCTTCATAGACATAGAATATTTTTGTAAGAGAAGACACATTTCTAGGGCTTGTTTCAGATGTTCTAAAGTGCAGTAGTGACACCAGCTCAGAAGATATCTTTGCCGGGGGTGTGAGTGTTGAAGATGAGTGTGTGCAAGAAACCGGCTAGTGATTCCTCAGAGACGCATCAGTGGTATTTAATGAGCACGGCTTGTGTTAGGCTAATAATTTTGAAACACCGATCTCAGACCTGTAAGTGGCAGCGTTTTGAAACCATTAAGGTAGCTGAACACACGCCGCTTGGCTCCACTGGGTCTGAACCAAATGCTAATTTCTTTCTTTGTTTATGACAGCGGAGTTACTTACATTCATTAATGGAAGTTTTATAACCTACTTTGTGGCTCCATAAATACGGGTTATCCTGACAGCCTCATTATGCAGAGATAAACATAGCCCTTGATTTCTGAAGATACTCTGCTAGAGATTTATACTTAGTGATTTATCTACCATGGTGACGGGGAAAGCTGTCATTTACCCCATAGTCTGCACATACACTGTACACAGAACCCTCCTCGGCTAAGGGTATACTGTATTTTTAAAACATAACTCAGCTATATGTGCAATGTGTGTATATATGTAGAAAAATATATAATATAAGCCTATAATCATATACGCATATATTATATAATACACATAGTCTGCACATCATATATAACATACACAAACACATACGCTCTTCCAAGTACAGTATCCAGTAATATAATCAAAACAGTGAACAACCGGGGTAAAGAATTATGCACGACTGTTGTTTGTACTCCACAAACTCAGTCTCACCCTGATTTTGCTTCTGTGACACACATGGATACATGTGGATACAGGACCTACTCTAGTCCAGCTGAGAGCTGGCTCACACATGCTCTCTCTCAGCAAAGGAAAAAAGTTGGAGGCAGTGTTTCAGCTCTGGTGTTACTGTCTATTGGTTCCTTAAGACACTTAGTGATGTTGAATCTGGTTCCCAGCCTGTCCTTGAGCCCATGAAATTGTCCCCATCCTCCTATTCACTTTCTCTTTCTGTAACAAGCCAGAGTTGGTCATTATCATTTACATAATAAAGGGAGGCTAAGCTGCTGTGACAAAATCCCTAAGAGCTAGTGACTTCGTGAACAAGGAATTGTACTACTTTCTCCAGTGGAAGTTAATTGCTGCCTCTGTTCCACTCAGTCATTCAGGGATCAAGGCTGAAAGGGGCTTTACTGCTTCCAACCTGAAGTTGCTCTGTGCTGATGAGCATCGCAGCCAACAGGAAGAGGGAAGAACAGAGCAGCAAAGCCAGGGCTTTCCTATTAGGCGAGTGAGGTGGGTGTTGCTCACCCAAAGCCTCTGAGCTACCACTGGAGAGAGCCCACTCTCAGAGCCACATCTGGCTGCAAGAGCTGTGGGTGCCAGGAAACCGGCCTTTGCCTGAGTAGCCATATCCCACCCTAACTCTACCACCCTGCACAGAGAGAGGTGGGGTTTTGTGGATGGTTCCATCTGTACCACAACCACCAAGGACTTCAACAGATGGAAGCTGATGGCCTCTTGAAGACCACAAATTTGAGTTAACCTCTCCAGATCACTGTACAGAGACACTTTGACTGATAACAAAATTGCTCCAAAGAGAAGTTCCCTACTATCACTGAAAAGACTTTTAGTTTGCAACCTTAATGTAGGCGTATTTATTCATGAATTTTACCCTCAGATGACTGAACTAATACAAATGTATACCACAAAACAGGCACACAAGTAGAAATCAAAATCGATGAGGTAAAATAAAGTGGGATAAAGAAAAGAGGAATTTCGGTGTTTTTCTTGTGAGATTTCTATAAGATTTGTGTGTGCACATATACGTTTTGTCAGAAAAGCGGTAAGGGAGAAAAAGCAGAGGAGAGAGAAAGAGAGGGAGAGAGGAGGGGAAGATGGAGGCGAGAGAGAGGTTTTGCTAAAAGTTCATTACTTTATAGAGTTTAAAGCTAGCGAAGAGAAGCTTGGATTGTGCATCAGTATCAGCTACATGCCTATAATGAATAAACGAGTGTTGAAAAATACAGGGTGCTCCCAAGTTTGTAACACACAGGGAAAATGAACAAAATCATATTATATTTTATATTTTTAATATTTATATATGTCAACATATAGAGAAATACTTTGCAAACTTTTATAGTGACTTTTTAAAAAAAATAAACATATAGTTAGCTATAATTTCTCATTTCCCCTACGTACTTGTATGTATTACATGTACACAGGGTACACTTTGGGATACCCTAGATTGTTGGCCAAACAGATGTTAGCAGGCTAAT